ATGTTTATTTATAATGCAATGCTAATCGACATAGTCTTTAGCACTGTGTAGAATACTGTACAGAAGCCTCATCAGTTCACAGAAAGAAGTTATTTCAAAACTCGATTGACACTATAATTCGAGTTTGGGGTGAAAATACATGGTTATTTTCATAGACTGTTATACTTTGACGCTGTACTGATGAGAGAAACGAACCTTTTCGAAGCTTTAAATCAATTGAACCATTTGCTTCACAAAATGATTCACTGTTTCGAATCACTCAAAACGCCACACGCTGGTGATGCCTGCTGGTCATAACGTGGTCATAAATGCAACAAAAACTCAGGCCAAATTATGCATAAATAAAGACCCAATGCAAAATGTTTAATTGAAATTACAATATATTAAATGCAATTAACAAATCATCAAATACTATTAAATATGAAGTGTTTTTATAACCTGTTCTTCTATTAATTTGCAGGACTTTTTGTTTGCTTTATGAAGGGCTCGTCTAAACATCTTTAACAACTACTCCCATATATAGACTTCTATAGAACAATTTCTCCTATAAGACTTCTATAGATATTGCGATATATTGTCACCGTGATCCCCCGATAATCGGTGCACTTAAATAGATACCGTGATATATCGTTATCGTGATCCCCGATAATCGGTGCACTTCAATAGATATCGTGATATATCGTTATCGTGATTTTAATAATTCTATGATTAATAATATTACCTCTTATAATAATAATTAATATTACATATAGCATGTAAAATAAAACATTATATTAAAATTATATGAATTATTATATTACATATACGACGTTCTGAATACATCGTATATTATGTTTAGGATATTATATTAATTTTAATATTCATTATTGAATATTTATATACAACAATTAAAAATACTAATTTAATGAGTATATTCTAAATATTATAATATATTTAGAATATTATATTACTATATACATTTTTATTGCATGAATATATATGCTTGCAATAATAATTGACATGTATAATATATATATTTTATATTAAATACTAATAATACGATTATATATATATATGTTCACATTATTAAAATATAATAAATTATTAAATATTGGATGATTTTTTATTTTATTTGGCTAATTTAGTTGTGTGTATTCTTCCTGCTCGAGTCCACCTCTCCATCGACTCACCTGACTGATGCGGTTGAAGCCGTACTGCCTGAAGTTCTCATCATAGAGAGAAACCGTTCGGGCACCGATGTAGAAAGGCTCCCACGGATCGGCCCAGTTTATGGTGTACGCCACCTCCAGCGGCCCAGAGCTCTTGCTGGCCAGGTTGACCCACTGTGAGTAGTTAGTGGGAGCTTGACAGCGAGGGCAAAGTTCATCGTAGAACGGCCGCACCTCGCCAACCTGATAGAGCTGCACCAGCTCCGACTTGTTCGTGGGCATCTTACGAGTGTGCCTGATCTCGAACGTGGGAAGCACGAGGACCTCGTCCGCGGCTGGTTCGCGCCTCATCAGCATGGTCACGAACTGGTGGTGCAGATTGGCACTGGGTATCATGTCGATATCGATGACCAGGATGTAGGCCGCATCTGTGCCGCTGCGGGCCACGTTGCGGAGAAGGTTGTTGGGGTACGAGACATTGCTGCCGATGGCGTAGTTCTTATACTTGTCTCGGTGGGATTCGAGCTTGGCGAAGATGCCGGAGCAGCCCATCTCCTCCAGACCGGCAAAATGCTCTCGATCCTGGTCTGGAAAACTGGCCATTTCACCTGAGTGGCAAACCAGATGGAAGTCCACCAACGCTTGAACCTGTGGGCAGAAAATGCTGAGGGCGTAAACGAACGCCGTGGCGAACTTGACATCTTGGCCGTTGGCGAATATCGCGACGGATAGAGGATTCTGCCAGCGCTCCAACAAAGAGCTCAAATGGTGAAGGTTGTTGATAGTCGTATGCGTGGCCAAAGCCAGGTGGTGCCATCTTGGACCCGCTCCTGGCTTCTGATTGGTCGAGAAGTCGCTTTTGATTAGGTTTTTATACACGCGGTACTGTCCACTCCCATCGAAGATCCCACCTGTAGATAAAGAGTACCTGAGATGTTCCCGCCTGGGGTTCTTCTCTCCTTGGTTTGCTGTCTTTTTGGAGCCGAAGAGCTCCGAATACTTGTAGCGCTGCTGTTTGCCGTGCAACTTTGAGAGGAAAGACAGATATAGAAGCTGCAACAGTGCAACAATGAGAAGGGCACTGAGCACCACCTGAAACACGGAGCATTTTTTAGAGAAATGCATTACAATTACTGGTGGCTTTTGTTTAATGTCAATGAAACGTTCTCAGAGAGTGCTGCTCACACAGATCAGCTAGGGTTAGCCAGCTGTCTAGCTATGCAGCCCTCGTGCATGCAGCAGGCATCGCATTGATCTGCATCGCAGCGAGATGAAGTAGTGCAGGTCAGTTTAAACGGGAAGCGACTTGTATGTTTGGATGCATGCATTGAAAAGACGCCTGTGAACACGCAGAGAGAGAAACACGTTCGCTTACAGCATTACCTTTAAGTGACTTTAGAGTATAGAGTCAAAACGACCGCGTATCAGGGAGGCGCATCAGACGAGGTGGCCGAGTGGTTAAGGCGATGGACTGCTAATCCATTGTGCTCTGCACGCGTGGGTTCGAATCCCATCCTCGTCGGGAATCGTTTTTGACTTAAATTTGAGCTTGGTTAAAAAGAGGAGTCCTGCAGTTTTTGCACTATACTAATGTTTGGTTTTAAATAATATAATATAGTAATAATACTATTTTTTAAACATGACATTGTAATATACAATGACAGTGTATTTTTCAGACTTTGGAGCCCCCTACAGTTAAGTGTGTGGAATTCATTGTCGTAAATATAGGCTGCACACGTGCATTTGTTGCTGCCGTAAAGCAAGCCGTGTTTTTTTCGCGGAATTTCGTATGCTGTCAACAAACTTGTTTTTTTTTATTTGATGCTTTACTTAGTGACAACTCACACCGACAGATACAACATAATAACAACAATAAGGTCGAAAACTGTAAGTAATAATAAAAAAATAAAAATAAACACAAATTTAAAAAACCACATACATTATTGACATCAAATGTGGACATCCTTAACTTATTTATTTTAACTCCTTAACTTATCTTTTCCTTGCTTACACCTCAATGCTTCACGATACTGATAAATAAACCAATAAACCTCAAACTTAAAGATTATGAATGTTATATTAATCTCAAACAATGTGGCAAATTATTATTAGCTCTATAAAAATAAATATATTCGTATTTTAATAATAAAACCCTGTTTTAAAATCAATTATAAACCGGAGAGTTCCGGTCCTTGATTCTGATTGGCTGAGCCGCGTTCGAAGCTGTTGTAAATTACTCTATAAACACACACACCGTTGTTTACTTCTGTGTATTGCTCTGCAACTGCTTTGTTACAACCACAACAGTTTCTGAGGAGCTGCGTTGTTTGGTGGAAGAATACTGTTTTATTAATATCATTACACTTTATTTGCTGTTTCTGTGAAACCTTACTACGTATATACTGGTAAAAAAATGTATAGCCTGAATGCACCGTAAATCACTTTGGATAAAAGCGTCTGCTAAATGCATACATTATTATTATTAATTATATGGAATAACCGTTTTATAAAAGCAATAATCCCCGTGAAGCCATGGTTTACAGTGAATTTATAACAGCTAAGCGGCGTTACACACAATGAAAATCCCTTTAGCTGTTATTAACTCACTGTAGCTTCTTGGGGCTTATAGCTTTATTAATATCATACTTGTCATTATCAAATGAATATTTGGTAATTGTAATAATTTTATTTTACACAAGTACTAACTGATGGTGAACAGCAACACGCACACCGTTTATTTTTTTTGCTCCAACAAGTGTGTGATTTTAGAGACGAACAAAACACGCGACACCGTGAGCAGATCTCGCTCAATCTTGCATTTTTAATCCAATAACCAAAACAACCACAGAAACATAAACATAAACAGGCTTCGTCCGACAGGTGTACAGTCGTGACAGGATAAACGATGGAGTCGAGCCGCGGTCAACAGTCACGAGGTCCACCGTACGACACATTTCACTCCATTACTAAATATTACGTCTTCCCAAAGCAGAAGAACGTGAAAGTCGAGCCTCACCAACTATCTGGGCATGGTGAATTAACGCAGTCCGTTTAGACACGAAACATGTTTATTGGTAACAAACTGGACTGAAACGCAAACAATGGAAAACTATTTAGTTGAAATCACACTGGCTAGTGCGAACGGCTGTAAATGTTCGGATAGGAAAGGTGTTGTTGTGAGCCGTGTCTTAACAAAACGTGCATGAAAACCGAGCCTTTCACTCTCTTTCGTGTTTTATGACTGGCACCTGTAAGACTTAATAGAAACATGCCAACTCAGTCTCTCCGCAAATATTCTAACCAGCGTTTAAAGAAAAATCCACTAGGAGACGAGCACTCCGGCGCCGCCTTTCGAGCCTCCTTCGCTCTCTTTGGCTGGACTGGCGTCCGCTTTGCCCTGTTTGTCGTCCTCGCCGACTAATCGGATGTTGTAGCGCTCGCGGTACTCCGTCAGCTCCCGCCCTTTCGCCTGCATCTGTGAGTTAAGCGACTCCACGATCTTCGTGATCTGATTGGAAAGAGAGAAGCGGTAATAAAGCATCGTTTACGACGAGCAAAGGTGTGCGAGTCCCGCAGCAGAGTCGCACCTGTTCTTTATTGTTTTCCAACGCAGGCAGAACTTCTTTGACGGTCCTCTCCACCAGCACACCGCCAACTAAGCGAAAGCACTTCCGTGTCGGGTCGACTTCCTTTAGCGTGTCTATGACGAGGCTGTGAAGAGGAAGTGATGGGCGTCAGAACAAGAGCCTTTCAAACACAATGTGTAAATATCAGTGCCTTCGTTTCTTCATCAGAACAGATTTGGAGAAACTGCGTCACTTGCTCAGCATCGCATCCTCTGCAGTGAATGGGTGCCGTCAGAACGAGCGGATTTCTCACTTCTCAAGGCATTAACTGACGGACTGGAGTGGTGTGGATTACTTGTGGGATATGTTTTTATCAGCCGTTCGGACTCTCGTTCTGACGGCACCCATTCACCGCAGAGCATCCACGCAGGAAGGGACGGTTTCACAGCGCATCGCTCTGATTAAACACACCTGTGTTCATTGATCTCCATCTCCAACTCTGCAGCCTTCGAGGCCATACTGCGCTGCTCCTGTCGCATCCTCTGGAAAGTAGCCACCACCTGATTCACAAACACCAGCACACATATGAACAGCGCATGCATATTAATAAGGCGGTAAATTGTCAAATAATAAAATAAAATAATAACAGTGAGATGATTAGGTTCAAGTATACAGGTGCATGTAGAAAAAGCTTTGTCCCCTTGATGACTTGTGGGGGGGGGTCGTTAGCAATGCCCCTGAATGACTCAGTTACTGTCACTCTTAGTTTCTTCTGTCTCGTGCTGTAGTGTTGAATGGCAGGAACAGCGGCAGCCGTGCAGACGATGCACTTTCCTCCTGGAGACTAGTTTCTAATGGGCGGAGACCTAGATTTAAGAAATCACGGTCTTTTCTCTCTCTTGCAGCAGATCTGAGGTTTGCATTGTTGCATGGCAGCTATAAAGCAGCACAGGCGCGTCTCAGTCTGCGCACTACACGCCCAACACGCGTGCTTTACAACGCCACCCGAGCACGTCCATTACTGAGCACTGAGGGGCGTCGGACGCTCGCGGCTTTGTTGTTTATCGCAGACGCGCTCTGGGTCGGTCGCGACGCGTAGATTAAGTGTTCGCGTGTTACTGTAATAAACCCAATGCGCCGTTACCTGCTCTGCGGACGGCGCGGGCAGCTTTCCGCCGCTTTTATCGCTCGTGTTGTTGCTGCTGTTCGCCGCCATGATGAACTACACCACACCGCGCCGAGTCAGGACCCCCAACGGTCACATGAGGGACTGACCGCGAACATTCCTGACTGAAATTACCGCTCGCTAAGAACAGAAACGTAAGGTGCTGTACGACTTTTTTTTTAAACCACACATAAAATTCCCATTTTCACCTGTCAGATTTTTTATTTATTTATATATATATATATATGTTTTTTTTTTTACAGGTTACCGGTTTTTGCGAAGAGTACGTTAGTTGCTGTTCCACAAGAGGCGCGGAAAGCACATGCAGCGTTCAAATTTTAAGGACGTTTCAGTCTTATTGATGACATTTATTCGAAACGATTACATTTTTTTAAATTCTATGATTATATACATAGATGGGAATGTAGTTTTGCAGTAAATAGATAAATAAACTCACCTTTTCCAGCGAATCACATCGACTTTCCTGCGATTGGTCCGTCCTGCTCTGCGCTGAGAAAAGTAACACGTGACACGTGACCGCGCGGTCTCGGCGCAGTTTCTGCGATTATAATCATTTGAACCTGAATAATGCTGCTGGTTAATAGATTACAATAGCGATACTGGTGATAAACATTGTGTAGAAAATGCAAGGTAGGTAAATATAAGAGTTATTACTTAGACTCAAAGTTCTGTCCAATCAGAGGCAGCGTCCTGACATATAAGCCCCGCCCACACTGAACTATCGTATCTGGATTGCACGCGTATTTAGCCAAACATAAACTGTAATTTAGCACAAAACGACTGGGTTGTTCTTTAACCCGCCTTCGTATTCTGAGAGTAGAGTCAGTTACGTCGTGTGTTTTTAATGCGCCAGCTGTAGGGTTAGTTATTGCCGTGGCAGTGGCTGCAATGGGCTCAAAGTTCAGTCTGTGAGAGTAACGTTAGTTGAGTTCGGCAGGCTGTCGATGCGTCTGCTTGCTGCACTGAGACCGCTGCACGCTTTGAGATCGAAGGCAGTGCGAGGACAGATCAGGTTCGACTTTCTGCATGCATGCTGAGTTGTTTCTGTTCTAGTCTGGTGACTGCAGTGCGGTTTACTTTAGTGTCCGCATGAAGACGCAGTGACACTGAGTCTCGCCGGGGTTGAGCTAGAAATAATGCATTTGTTACTCATTTAAAGGTCACGCTTGTGATCCTCGGCAGTCAAAACAGACTCGAGACAATACAACTTTTTAAAAAAAATTTTTAATTAATGTACTATTTTATTTTATTTATTTTTGTTTGATTTATTTATATAATATTTTTTTAATTTGAGGAGATTTCATGATTATTTCTATAGATTATGCATTTATTTTAATATATTTTTTTCTGGATTCTGTGTTTTATAAATTAATAGAAATATATTATCAAAAGTTACCTGTATGGTGTTTTTATTTTATTTATTTATATATATATATATATATATATATATATAGATTATAGAGAGATATAGATTATGCATAATTTATTTCTATATTTTTTTCTGGATTCTGTGTTTCATAAATGAATAGACATATATTATCAAAAGTACTGGTACAATTAATTAATGTACTATTTTATTTTATTTATTTTTGTTTGATTTATTTATATAATATTTTTTTAATTTGAGGAGATTTCATGATTATTTCTATAGATTATGCATTTATTTTAATATATTTTTTTCTGGATTTATAAATTTATAAATTAATAGAAATATATTATCAAAAGTTACCTGTATGGTGTTTTTATTTTATTTATTTATATATATATATATATATAGATTATAGAGAGATATAGATTATGCATAATTTATTTCTATATTTTTTTCTGGATTCTGTGTTTCATAAATGAATAGAAATATATTATCAAAAGTACTGGTACAAAAATGAATGCATTAAACTTTAACAATTTAATAAATCTTTTAAAATGCAATTTGATCAAGTCCTTTTATCTGTTTGGCAAACACAGTGCTGCACAATGGAGGTTTACTGATTAAATTAAAACATGGGTGAGAAATTATGAAATTGTGTGAAATTCTTAAAAAAAAAAAATTAAGTTTCAAGTTTAAATAGTTTTAATAAATAATATTTAATCAATCGTATTACGTTGAGATGTACTTTCTACTCTACAATAGCAATATATTTCTGTCATAATCTCTTCAAGTTAAACCAAACTTTTATTTTGGCGGGTTGTAGTGAAGACCTTTTGCGTTTCTGTGCGTTTTAATAAATTGTATTATTATTGTAACTTTGAGAAGTAGATTCTATTGCACTGTTGTAATTAAACTGTTAAAACACACTTTTATTTTGGCGGCTTTGAGTTTCTGTGTGTGTCTGAGGATAGTTTTCTGAAATGACTGTCAGATCGCCTGCTCATAGAAACATAGGCACATTCTTCATTTGTTTTTCAGGATGTCGTCATCGTCATCACTTCCTGTGGCGGCTGTTTGTCAGATGACCGCCACCCCTGACAAAGAGGCCAACTTCAGCGCTTGCATGCGATTGGTGGAGCAGGCCAAAGAGGGCGGGGCCTGTATGGTGTTCCTGCCGGAGGGCTTGGATTACATCGGCTCGAACCGCGAGGAGACGCTGCAGCTGTCCGAGAGTCTGGACGGGGACATCATCAGCCGTTACTCACACCTGGCCAGGTACGATACGGAGCACTGCTACAGCGACTGACGACGTCTGATTGCTCAGTAGGTGTGTGTGTGTGTGTGTGTGTGTGTGTGTGTTTAAGGAAGCTGGACCTGTGGCTGTCTCTGGGTGGGTTTCATGAGAGAGGACACGACTGGAAAACAGACCGGCGCATTTATAACAGCCATATTATCATCAATGGACAAGGTACATAGTCTCATTTCTGAGTCATTTTTGAGCTGTGCATTTTTTTTTGTCATTTTCTGTTGGTTAATGAGGTGATTTATTACTGTAATACATATATTTTTAATATTTAAAATCATAAGAAAATATTTATTTAATAATTTACATATATGAAATATTTACAGTATTTCATATTTTTATATTTATAAGACAATGATTGAAAAAATGTTTTTGTATGAAATGTACAGTATTTGTCTTTTTAATCATTCAAATCGGTATAAATTAAAAGCAGAATATGAATATGAAACTATTTTATATTATACTTTACTGTAATGCAGAAAATATAAGGATTAATTGTTTGTTTGTTTGTTTATTTATTTATTTCCATATTTAAAAATAAAATGCAGTAATTGTAATTTAAGCTTTTAAGAATACTTAATTGTCGGGAAAATATTGTCACATGGAAAAATGTTTCAAAAAAATTGTCCTAACATAGGCCTTTAATTTTTATAATTCTCAGATGATTCAAGTGATTAAAGGAGATTAATTAATATGATACATATGTTTTATAAATATTAAAAAAAAATCTGTAATACATTGATTTTTTTTTTTATAAATAAAACCAGCGTGAATTAAAGGCTGAACATACTGTCATGTTCAAATATAGAAAATACTCATATTTGATATTTATGGCATTTAATTTCGATATCTATATTTCAAAACGTTAAATAATTTATTTATTTATTTTTTATCAGCATCGATAGCTGTTTTCATTGCAAGATCTAATTATTTTATATAAGAAAATTGTATAAGAAAATAGTCCTTAGAATTTAGGTGTTTAAATGTTTAATTGTCATGACAATATTGTCCTAATGCAAAAAAAAGAATGATCCTAATATAGGCTGTGTTTTCTTTGTTAAACAGAGTTTTGTATGAGATGGTTGTCTGCCACAGTCCGCAGAAGCATGTGTTGTGTGTGTGTTCAGGTGAGCTGGTGTCTGTGTACAGGAAGGCTCATTTGTTTGATGTGGAGCTGACGAGTAAAGCAGTGTCTCTGAAAGAAAGCGCTTTCACCGTCCCCGGACCTCGACTGGTGCCTCCCGTCCAGACGCCCATCGGAAAGGTGCTTCAGCTCTAAACAACAACACAAGCAGCCATGTGACTCTCAGGCTTGATATTAAGGTGCACTGTAATGCTGTCATGGTGTTGTGTTCACTGTAGGTTGGTCTTGGCGTCTGCTATGATCTGCGTTTTCCTGAGCTGTCAGCAGCGCTGCGGAGACACGGAGCAGAGATCCTGACTTACCCATCAGCCTTCACTGTGGCCACAGGAGCGGCACACTGGGAGGTGAAAACATGATACACCGCGCTGCACAGTAGGGCTGTCAAAAAAAAAAATGCGTTTTCCTGAGCTGTCAGCAGCGCTGCGGAGACACGGAGCAGAGATCCTGACTTACCCATCAGCCTTCACTGTGGCCACAGGAGCGGCACACTGGGAGGTGAAAACATGATGCACCGCGCTGCACAGTAGGGCTGTCAAAAAAAAAATTTGAATTTTGAATATTCGTCGAATTTAAAATAAAAATCCACGTTCGAATGCAAAAACGTTGCATTTGAATTTTAGATGTGCGTTAAGGAGGCAGCCTTATCAGCGGCGCACGAGATGCGATGAGGATGTAAGTGTCGTTGCATTATAATGTTTTTGTTAGGATATCCAGTTGAAGCCACTAGATGCGGCGCTGCTGCGTTGTTCATTACAAATATAGCGGAAAAAGAGAACATCAATGCGGAGAAGATCTTGTTTACATCAAAACTCAAACCAAGCCGTTCACACAGAACGCATATTTATCACATTTTCGAGAGGGATATCTATCAGCGTTGCACTCGCATCTCGCACACAAGAGCCGCATGTTTAGAAAGCCATGTAAAATTAATGCAAGTTTAACTTTGAAAAAACATATCGAGACTTTATGGTGGGTTTTTCCCCATCCCACTGCATCTCGTGTTTTTAAATGAAAAATGTTTAAGCAACTTAATTCATTATAACTGGTTTATAAACATTATTTTAAACATTATGCACTTTTCACAGATAGTCATGTTATCTTATGCTTTGAATAAATGTGCATTAGTAATATTTTGCTCGATGCGCCCTCTTGTGGCCTCAGAGAGAAGCCAAAAGCTTTTCTTCACCCTAACTGAAATTATGCATTTTAAATTAGAATATAATTAGAATTTTGATATTTAAGTAAAAAAATGGAATTGAGTTTTTCAGCCGTTTTGACAGCACTACTGCTGATTAAACCAAAATGTTGATTTGCCAAAAAAAAAAAAAGGCCTATTATTACCTAATTTGATGATGCCAAGTTAAAAAAAATCAATAAAAACTTCCATCTCGTACAGTTTTATTTTTTTCCAGGTACACGTACAGTTTTTTTTTTCAAGTACATTTAATTTTCAGGAACATATTGTCAAAATGCAAAAAAAAGATATATATTTTTTTGTAATATAGCCTTAATTGAGCCCCCCCCCCCCCCAGGTGATCATTAAAGGGATTTTTATATAAAAAATATAATGCAATGTTTTTTTTTATTTTTTTTTTTTTTATTGAAATCAGCACAAATTAAATAAAGGCAGAAAAAAAATACAGAAAATACTACCATGATATTTAAATAATAATTCTTTAATACTTTTTATGGATTACAGTAATGAGTATTTATTTTAATTATTAATCACTATTTGCATGGCAAGATTATTATAATATAAATTATTTAAAAACAAAACACAGTAATTTGGGTCTTTGATTAATTGTCATGAAAAGTGTGTCACAGTGCAAACAAAAAATATACTTTTAATGGATTACAGTAATGAGTATGCATTTTATTTATTTATTTATTAATAGCTATTTGCATGGCAAGATAATTTTATTGTAAATTATTTTAAAACAAAATACAGTAATTTGGGTGTTTAAATATGTTTAATTGTCATGAAAATATTGTCACAATGCAACCAACAAAAAAAACAACAACACTGAATGGTTCTAATCGAGTCATCTTTTTCTTTGTTAAATGTAATTTTCTATGAAAATGTCTGAAATGGTATGAAATCTGAACAAAGAATGAAGGGTTTTCTAATTGGATTATTTTATCAGCTTCGATGCACTTATCAAAATAACGAAAGCAGTCAAATGTCAGAAGATCTGGTTTTAATGACACCGGCAATAAATCTAACCTTGAAATCAGGACTAGACGTAAGATAATGTCGTGCTTGTGAAAATCAGCTGAGAATTGAACAGATAGTTGTAATCTGGCTCCGAGGTAGACGGGAATCATGTCGGTTTGGCAGTTTTTCTGGTGTTCAACGGATAATACAGGACTTCTTCATCTTACAAATGGTTGTCGAAAGCTACGAAATCTTCATATTTTGTGACCTGCGTGAGTAAAACAGCCACTATCACAGAAACCAGCACTCCTTCACTCTAGTGCTGTTCTGCTGACAGGTGCTGCTGCGGGCGCGGGCCATCGAGACGCAGTGTTTCGTTCTGGCGGCGGCGCAGGTCGGGGCTCATCACGCGAAGCGGACGTCGTTCGGACACGCGCTGGCTGTGGACCCGTGGGGTGAGGTGACCGGGGACTGTGGGGGTTCAGATGTGGGTTTAACACTGGTGCAGATTGACCTGCAGAGACTACGGGACATCCGGAGGGACATGCCAGTGCAGCAGCACCGCAGAGACCAGGACTTCTACTGCAGCCTGGACTGATCCATTACTACACATTTTTAAATGAAATATGTGACCCTGGAGCACAAAAGCAGTCTTAAGTCGCTGCGGTATATTTGTAGCAATAGCCAACAATATCAATTGTTCTCATATCATCTCAATTTTGAAAAATGGACCCTTATGACTGGTTTTGTGCTCCAAGGTCACATTTATTGCATATGATACAAATAATATGCAGTGATGAATTACTGTGTATTTAATTAATGACTCTGAACTGCTTCTTATTAAATTTGAAGTTGGATTAGAAATGGCTTGACTGGTCTGATGTCATTTGCTTTATAATGCTTAATTCTTTATATAATAATTCTATGCATTTTCTTTATAGTATGCATAATTTTTTACTTTTATTATTATAATTATTATTATTATTAAAACCCTTATTGCTCCATTGTTTTCATTTTTAGACTTTTTTAATTATAATTATATTTTGTATTATATAGAAATGACATTTGTTAAACTAAAATATATACCTGTTTTATTGCTCTATTGTTTTCATTCAGTTTCATGTAGTTATATTTGTTGTAGTTTAATATTAAATTATTAATTTCTGTATTATAGTAGCACAATACTATATACAGTACCAAAATAGCATTATGCAGTAAACTTTTTTTGCTTCATTATTCGAATTAACATTTATTTAACTTTAATTATATTTTTATTATTTAATTTAGCGTTATGATAATGTATTTTAAATTAGATTATGAGTTTTTGTATTATTATGAATCTCGGATCTCGTTCCTCTGATGGGGGGGGGCACCGGAAGTGAAGGTCCCTGACACCGGAACGGACCGAAGCAAGCCGCGCCAGAGCAGAATGACAACAGTTCTTGAGAGGAACATGTCGCGTGTTTTATTCGTGCTGCTGGGATGATTTGCGTCTTCAGAGGTCGTTTCGAGGCATCGCAGAGGTAAGACGCTGGCATCCGCGCGGTTGGAGAGGCATTTCGCTCCGTGCAGAAGCACCTGTCGGTTCATTTCATCGGTGTGATCACACACACACACACACACACACACACACACTCAATCACTCACACACACACACACTCAAGTTCTTGAGAGGAACATGTCGCGTGTTTTATTCGTGCTGCTGGGATGATTTGCGTCTTCAGAGGTCGTTTCGAGGCATCGCAGAGGTAAGACGCTGGCATCCGCGCGGTTGGAGAGGCATTTCGCTCCGTGCAGAAGCACCTGTCGGTTCATTTCATCGGTGTGATCACACACACACACACACACTCACTCACAGAGACACACACACACTCACTCACAGACACACACACACACTCACTCACAGACACACACACACACACTCACAGAGACACACACACTCTCACTCACTCACAGAGACTCACTCACAGAGACACACACACTCTCACTCACTCACAGAGACACACACACACACTCACTCACAGACACACACACACTCACTCACACACAGAGACACACACTCTCACAGACACACACACACACACTCACTCACAGAGACACACACACACTCACAGAGACACACACACTC